CTCTGTATATGGAATTCAATCGCGGTCGTGGTTCGCTCACTGACGAATTTCGTGAAGGTCGTCCAAAATCGATTGTTGTTCCAGAAAACATTGATGTTGTACGTTAACTGATATTGCAAAATCGTCATGTGACTTATCGTGAGATCAAAGCATCCTTGGACATTAGTGGGACCAGCATACATTCAAAGTTGCATGACCATTTGGCCACCAAAAAAATTTGTTCGCGTTGGGTCCCACGTAATTTGATAAACGCTCGAAAAAAGGCTCGTTGTGTCGATTGGTCGAAAGAAATGCTCAAGAAATACAATCGCGACGATTCAAATCACGTCTATGACAACGTAATCATGGACCTATCCGTATGAGCCAGTAGTCGACTGTATGGGTCTTTCAAGATGAGTCAGATCCAACGAAAGTTGTTCTCGCACGAAACGCTAAGCAAATGGTCGCTTGTTTTCTCGGAAAAATGGGAGATATGGTAATTGTACCATTAGTGCAACGTCGGATGGTCAGTTCTGAATGATACACGACGATTTATTTGCCAGAAGTCTTGGAAAAATAAGGGAAAATGTATATACAAAATTTTACTTAGTAAAAGTTTATTTTAATCAATGAACGTTACTTTAATTTAAAATAATAAAAATATTTCAGGAAATGATTTCTTGGGAAATTTTACGACAAAAAGTTCGTCTCTAAACGGCTTAGGTTTCAAAATTCACGGAAATTAAAATTTTTAAAAAATATAGTAGGTACTATCCTAAATATCTTCAAAGATGTTTTTCGAATTTTCTGGCAGATTTTTCAATACGTTAAGTCGAAAATATCTTTCATCCTGGCCTAAACTACTCCTTCCATCACAAACTTTATATAAAATCTAAAGTAAATTTTAACAATTTTGTTAAATTAATAGATGTGACTACATCAAATTCGAGTTTTTAAGAGTTTCTTTTCTTTTAACAAGTGTAATACAGCTCCGATGTTGGTTACAGTATTTTTCGGACATCCTGTATACACTGTTTTCCAAAGAAAACTTGATCCTCCCCCCAATATTTATAAAATTGTGCAAGTATTATAAACCTCTTTTCTTCCCATATTTTACAAATTTTTGGCCGTCAAATGAAATTTAGGGAAACAGAATTTAACTATCAATTTTTAATAAATTTCTCATGTTGAGATACGTCAAATAGAATTATTCAGGTGCAAAATTTTCTCGAGCAGCCTTTGACATTACATGAAAGGATTTAATATCTGCCAAGCAGAAAGTTTTATTTACCATAATAAACATCGAGTAAATTGAAACATTCAAAGAACTGTGGGACTCGTGGCATTAGGTAGGTATATTAGATGAATTCCTACTAATAGAGTTTAATTTTTTATTATTATCA